GAATGTCGTGTTTTCCTTTGAAAATTCTAATCATCTATATTCTTTGTGGAATGGCACCCAGAATTAAGGGGGGAGGGGAGGAGACCTATTTACACTAGAACTAGATCCTATCTGAAGACCCATTAGTAGGTTCCGACCGCCAGTAATGCGGAGGCAAAAATTGTTTCCACAGCAACCAGTTCTGCAGCCCAGGGTCTCAAGGCCCTGGAGGCAGCATCTTAATTGCCTCACTCCGAGCTATGTTTTTCCTTTGCTCTCTTGGGAATGTGTGTGCTTACTTCTACGTGCCCACAAAACAAACGTCAAGGGCTGCTTATTCACAGTGAGTAAAGGTGAAGCATGAATTAACTTGATCGTGCGGTTATAAGAATCAGAGATAGAAGAGGCTTGTAATTTCCACAAGCATTTGCTTTTATTGGGCTTAGCCTGGAGTAAACACTGAAATAGATGTTTACGGGAAGTGTGGAATCATGACTGCGTTTCATCTTGGAATCATTTAGTTCAGGTTGCACTTGTCAGTCATGTATGTTCAAGGTTTAGTCTGAAGGGCCTGCTTAGGCGTTTTCGAGACAGCCTAAGCCTTCCTGAGCTGATAGAAGAAAGCCGGCCGGTCTGTGATCTCCGATTCAGGGGAAATTTCCATGAAATCAAATCAGATTAGATTTCTTCCCTTCGGTTAGCAGGTGGCACTCGGGATCAGTGTGGCCGGGGCAGGGACCAGCGGCGTCCCGGCTCTCTGTGACCTGGGTGTGGTTTTTGTTTTGCCTCATTCTGTGCCACACGGCCCAGTGCAGAGCGCCTGTGGCAGGTGCGTCTGCAATATTAAGGTTTTTTTACCAGAATCAAAGGGTGGCCCCGGTGCCAATTACTTTGGTTCTTTCTGGGGCTGCCTAGTTCTCAGTAGACAGAATTGGGCCCAAGAGCTAGAACTGATCACAGATTTACAAGGAAAATCCAATTTTAAAGTTTGTTGCTTAATTTTTTAGTGCTTCTTAATCTGATAATGAAGATGCCATTTTTCATAAGGGTTACTCCTTCCTACTTTTGATGCTGTATGAATACCTGAGTGCCGTAAACTCGGAACTGCTCTGTGAGAAGGTTGTAGTCTAAATTCCCTTTGCCTCCAATAGGGGCCCCCCTGACACTCTGCCTCCTGGGTCCTCCCCATCCCCGCTCCCCACTCCCTTCTCCGCAGGTGGGAGTGGTGGCTTCCTTCCTGTTCTTTTCCAGGATCTGTTTGGCTAAGTCAGCAGGGAGGGGCAGAGCTGCACTAACATGTTGAGGCAGTGTTTCCTCTGAAGCCCAGGCATTTCCCAAAACCCAGAACATGCTTCCCTTCCCCGGCCTTGTACCCCCACTTGCCCCTTACATGTACTGAAGAGTGTATTTTGTCAAGTTGTGTGTCCTGGCCTTTCTTCACGGGTGGCCGCGCGGCCGCTCCGAACGGGAGTGCTGTCCCTGCCTGCCCCGTGTCACCGGTCACTTTCCCGAGTGGGGACAGCCCTGCAGACACCGCGTTCTTCCCCACGGTCCTCACAGCAGGTGTGTGTGGGCAGACCGAGCCCGCGTAGGTTTTCACAGACGGGATGTAAAGTGAACTCTGTACACCCACAACTTCGTGTTGCCATGAAGCCGCAGTTAGGTCTCCAGAGAATCCCATTTTGCCTGGAATCCGGCCAGTCGCGGTCATGTGCGCGCTCGGGCACCGTTTTGGCAGACCCAGTTCTCCCTCTGAAAGCGCCTCCCCAGTCTCGAAAATCTCCAGGAGCCGATACAATGTTAGTAATGAAATGGGCCCGGAACAATGTAAGCAGAAAGCATTAGAAATTGGAATTGTCCTTTTTAAAAACGTAAGCTGGGTGAAAATGTTCTGTACGCTTTTGTACACGACTGTGTTTTGTATGAACTGAAATAAAATATTTTGAACTGTGCACGTTCTGACACTTTTGACCCTCGGGGACAGGGCGCACGGCCTGCCTGTGGGGTCTGGCCTGTCCCTTCGGGGAGGAGTCAGCTGTCCCGTGAGCTCCTCAGAACCTCCCGAGGAGTCTTTGTTGTTCTGTCTCCTGCGAGGGCACCAAACAGTGAGGCCGACTGGATACAGGCTGGGCATGCCTGTAGCCGTAGGGAGGGAAATGGGCGTATGCCATCTGCCCAGCTGCCTTTAAAAGACTTCATGGGCCCTGGCCGGTTTGGCTCAGCGGATAGAGTGTCAGCCTGCGACCGCAGGGTCCCCAGTTTGATTCCGGTCAAGGGCATATGCCTAGGTTGTGGGCTCAATTCCCAGTCGGGGGTGTGCAGGAGGCAGCGGATCGATGATTCTCTCTCATCATTGATGTTTCTCTCTCTCCCTCTTCCTTCCTCTCTGAAATCAATCAAAATATATTTGGAAAAAAATTCCATGGAAGGGGCTGAAGAGGTGCAGAAACAGAGGCAGTGGGGGGTGGGAGTGTAAGTACATTTGCACAGTCTATTGTTTGTTTTTCAAATCCTTATTATTGAAAGTATTGTATGCATCCCCCTCCTTTCCCCATTGACCCCCTTCAAGCTCACCCCCCACCCCAGGCCTTCAGTACCCTGTTGTCTGTGTCCATGGTTATGCACATATGCAAGCAAGTGCTTTGTGCATAGTCTGTTTTACCATCAGGGGCGAATCATGAGCCATTTACTGCTCTGGAGCTGTGAGGCCACCAGACCACTCGCTCGGGAGAAAAGGCACATTTCAGTTGTGAGGCCTGAGCACGTCATTCACCCTTGGCGTCACCTGTCACAGGCCGGGCTCCCTCGCGAGGGCCTTGAGCAGCCGAAGCTCCGGCCGCCTTCCCCTGAGGCCCGGCGCCTCCATGGCGGTCAGGCCTGCAGGTGTTCCTTAAACTGCACACGATACATATGCTGTATCTGACAAAAGTAAGTGTTATATGTTTTGAAAGGGTTGGACTGAGGACCTTGTTGTAACTGCCACCAGGATTCACACTGATACCTGACCGGAGTACAGAGACTCGGGTGCTCATGAGGGCGCAACTTAAGGCCGTCCGGCCAAATCTGAGAAATTTCACTCTTGACAATACTGGTCCAAAGTAATGAAATGTAGGCAGACGTGGCAGCCACCATTTCACGACCCTCCGTTTTCATAGGTCATCATTGATACTGCTCCTGTGGGCCCTCACAGGCTCCCACAGCCCAGGACAAAGCCGGGGATCCCCCGAAGCCCCCAGCACATGCTTTGCCGCTAATCCTAATAGTCTGCGACTGGACTCCCTGAGTGGGAGATTCAGAGCGGGGACCTGCGCATGCCGGGGAAGAGACAGTGCCTTTCATTACTTTCAAGGGGCTCATGATAACCACTTCTCCTGGATGCTGAATCTTGTCAGACAAAATATGTCAGTTACCCCTAAGCGGGGTCAGCTTAGCAAGGCTATATATGCACGGTAGAATTTCATATTCAGCAAAAGCCAGAAGCCAAAATTCCCCAATGCATTTTTAGAATCCTGGCTGGCAGGCCGAGAAATGGGGTTTGGCAGAAGCCAGGGTTGCTGACAGCTTGGTTCTCACGTTTCCTTGCCAGCAACAAGGCTGATACCCCGGGGTGGCACCATGGTGTGCGGCACCTGCCATGGGCCACGCAGCCCAAAGGAAACCCTCAGTGAAGCCCCCAGAACTGAGTCTCTGACAACTCAGCCCTCTGTGTCTCAGTGGGGCCCATGTGTCTCATTCCATCTGACTATGCATTTTGAAAATCAAAATATTTTGTTTACATTTTCATTTAATTTCTCAAAAGCCATTCAACAGCACTGCGTGCTCCCTGGTAAGACATTCTGATAGTTTGGTAATTGCTACTTTTAAAAAAAAAATTTTAAATTACTAGACAAGATTAGACAAAGGGAGGGAGGGAAGGGAGAGAGTGAAGGATATATTCTCTGGTAGCAAATAGCAGTGAATGGCTAGGGGCCTTATGGTACAGTGGCCCTTGGGGCTGGGCAGCTCGCAGGCTTCCAGGACCTCACTCCCAGTAGACAGTGCAGACTGAATCCTGGGTATTTGTGGGAATGAGCTTCTCCAACCAATTCCAATCCTAAATTACCAGAAGCCCACACAGCACCAACAGAGGCCAAATACTGGTGATGCTTAAGGTCCAGGCTGCGCTCAGATGGCTAAGTTCTACGACCTGCGTACCTTACTTCCTCTCTCTTAACTCTCCATTTATCTGGAAAATGGAAGCAATCATAGTACCTACCTTCTGGGGTTATACTTGGATGAACATAAAGTGAGCACAGAATAAATCAATAAACGGTGGCAGTCAGTTCGCATCAGCTTCCAGACAAAGATTCTTTCTATACCCAAGTCCAACAAGACATGTGGAACGACTGCAGAAAAGGAAGTTTTCCCTCACCATCACCCTTCAGTTCTTTGTGTAAGTCAGAATGCACCTCCAACGTTTTAAGTAAAGGGTGTCCCAAAATTCACGCAAGAAGTAATTTTGATAGAAAACACAGGTTTATAATTAAAACTTGTAAATTTTTTATTGATTCATAAAGTATCCAGTATAGGGTTATGTATGGGATAGGAAACTGGATTATCATGTCGCTGTCTTTCGTGAGAGTACGCTGTAGAGAGCTTCTCGAAATGTCCAATTCTTGACCACGGCGCCGAACTGATGTCCCTGGACTCAGCAACACTCTCACGAACTGCTTCGATGTTCTGTGTTGAACGACTTGTTGAAGGACGGCCAGAGTGTTTAAGATCACTAATTGATCCAGTCTCCCTAAATTTTTTAATTAATCTCTTGACAGCTGATGAAGTTAAATCACTATTCCGACCGTATTTTGCAAACGGTAGCTGCCAAACCTTCATTATTTTTAAAATATCGCTCAACAATGAAAACGCATTGTTCTTTTGTGTAGTGCTCCATTTTTAATAACCCTGAACTGTCAGCTGTCACGCTATCTTTTTTTTCGTT